ACTCATGTTACCCAGGCTGGAGTGCAATGGCGCGATCTCGGCTCACCACAACCTCCGCCTCCTGGGTTCAGGCAATTCTCCTGCCTCGGCCTCCTGAGTAGCTGGGATCACAGGCACACGCCACCATGCCCAGCTGATTTTTTTGTATTTTTAGTAGAGACGGGGTTTCACCATGTTGACCAGGATGGTCTCGATCTCTCGACCTCGTGATCCACCCGGCTCGGCCTCCCAAAGTGCTGGGATTACAGGCTTGAGCCACCGCGCCCGGCCATGAGAAACCATTTTTAATTCAAATAAGCTCGTTTTAATGAATTTTTCAACGGTTTTAAAGTATTCAGTATTGGCCTGTGTCTAAGGTTGTTATTTGAATGTAGTTTCCATAGAGGAATATAATAATGGACAGACTTCAAATGGAAAGACAGAACGTTAAAAGCCTAATTTCTCCATAATTTTATAAGATGAAATCTGAGTGTCTAAATCATTGTACTGTTTCCTAAAATTAACCCACCCCCTCCCCAGAAGGTCTTATAAACACAGCGCTTTGTTCCAAGTTTAGAGTTTTAAATTGAGAGCATTAAACATCAAAGTTATAATATCTAAAACAATCTATTTTCATCAAATAGCTCTCAGAGGTGATCTTTATTTTCTAAATATTTCAAACTTGAAAACAGAGTAAAAATGTGATAGAAGAGTTGCCAGTTTGAGGTTTAAAGCGTTTTTAAAGCTGCATGTTCCTTGTAATCAAAGAGTTGTGTCTGAGATCTAATAAAGTCAGTCACGTTTATTTTATAAAGCAGGATAAAAATGTGGCTATAATACACACTACCTCTCCTCACTACAGAAAGAACAAGGTGGTGTCTACTGCTAGGGAGACTGTATGAAGGCCAAAATAATGACATCAGCAAAAGTGGCTGAACTGACTCAAAGACCTTTGCCTGCAGGAGGGACCTGTTAGGGAAAATAAGATGTCTCATATAATGAGGTGATGTCTGAAACATGCAAAACAAAACTAAAAAAAAGTCTCAATATACACAACCGGATGATGATTTTTACAGTTTTTAGCAGGTAGCATTTTAATGTTTACAGAAACTTTAATTTTTTTTCTATTTTGAAATTTGAGGCTTGTTTACATTGCTTAATTTAGCATTTTTAACTAATGTCAAAACTACAGTGTCAAACATTCTAGGTTGTAGTTACTTTCAGAGTAGATACAGGGTTTTAGATCATTACAGTTTAAGTTTTCTGACCAATTAAAAAAAAAAAAAACATAGAGAACAAAAGCATATTTGACCAAGCAACAGGCTTATAATTAATTTGTATCAGTTGATTCTTTAATAATGTTTTGCCTTTTGGCCATATATACCCTGTGTATCTGCACTTGGAAGTGTTCAGAGTTACCATTGGTTGAAAACATCCGTGTCTCTGGCCATCAAAGTGATCTTGTTTACAGCAATGCTTTTGTGAAACAATTATTTATTTGCTGAAAGAGCTCTTCTGAACCTCGTCCTTTTTAATTTTGCTTAGAATAGAATGGAGCAGGTTTAAATTTCAAGGAAATATGAAGGCACTTCCTTTTTTTTTCTAAGAAGCAAGTTGCTAGATGATTCCTTCATCACACACTAGAAAGCGTATTTGTACATAAAAGGGTTTCAACCTTTTAAAAAAGAAGGAAAAAACTTTTTGGTGCTCCAATGCAGGACTATCTCAACAAAGGGAAAATAAACTATCAGCTTGGACAGTCACTTGAATAGAAGATGGTTGTACACAGTGTTATTGTTAAAATTTTTTTACCTTTTGGTTGGTTTGCATCTTTTTTCCATATTGTTCATTTTGTACCAAAATGTTAAATATTTGTATTATTTGAATTTTGCTCTCATATGGCAAACTAATTAGTGAGTTTTAAAAAAAATCTATGATTTCCAATAAACAACTGAAAAATTATCAGGAGATACGTATTTAAACTTTTTCATGAACATTGTTTATATAATCATTCATTCTGTTTTAATGTACTACATGATCTTAGCCTGGTTCCTGTAGGATTTTCATGTTCTCTGCATTATAGGGCCATCTAAGATGTTACTGTTCTTAAATGACTCATGCTAGAATGTCTAGATGGGGAGATGTTCTTTCCTCAGATGGTCCTGTGCCACAAAGTGACGTTTCGGTTAACAGTAGACCACAGACATGACGACAGTCCCATGAAATAGTAACGGAGCCGCCCTATATAGGTGTACCATTTTTAATCTTTTATACCATATTTTTGCTGTACCTTTTGTATATTTAGATGTGTTTAGATATGCAGATACTTTCCACCGTCTTACAGTTGCCTGCAGTATTCAGTACAGTAACATGCTACACGGGTTTGTGGCCCAGGAGCAACAGGCTCTACCATGTAGCTAGGCGTCTAGTAGGCTGTTCCATCTAGGTGCTCGCATGTATACCCTGCGATGTTTGCACGTCAATATGCTCACCTAAAGATGCATTTCTTGGCCAGGTGCGGTGGTTCGCGCCTGTAATCCCAGCACTTTGGGGGACCAAGGCGGGCAGACCACCTGAGGTCAGGAGTTTGAGACCAGCCTGGCCAACATGCTGAAACCCCAACTCTACGAAAAATATAAAAATTAGCTGGGTGTGATGGCAAACACCAGTAACCCCAGCTACTTGGGAGGCTGAGGTATGAGAATCACTGCACCTGGAAGATGGAGGTTGCAGTGAGCCAAGATCGTGCCACTACGCTCCAGCCTAGGCGACAGAGCAAGACTCTGTCTCAAAAAAATAAATAAATAAAGGAGATGCATTTCTCAGAACTTATCCTCATTAAGCAATGCATGGCTATATTATGTTCAGAAAGGGATGAAATCACCCGCAGCTATAGCACCTTAAGATACCATTTGCAAAGGTTACATTTTCCTTTTCTTTGATTTTGTTAGCTGTCCAAAATATAGTCGATTTTAGCCGTAATCTCCTACTATCAGGAATGCCCTTATACTTTGGAGTGTTTGGTACTTCAGTATATTTGCATGCACTGTGCTCTCATCTGTTTTTTACCCAATGCCTGCTCAATTCTTCACATAGTATATTGTGTAACTCAATCCATATTTAAAACGTGAGCATCTGAATTATTTGGTTATGGTAGAACTTTTTACTTGCCAGCCATGGTAGGAGTGTTGGTAGTTGTTGGTAGTTGGTGCTAAAATGTGATTACTTGGAAGAATTAACAACCTACATTTGGGGACTGTAATTGGATCCTATAGCTGCAATAAGAATAGAACCAGAGAACTCTTGACATGCAAGGTTATTCATTCTGCTGTAACAATGAGAGGGCTATTCAATGTCTCTTTGAGTCAGTTTTCCTTTCAGTCACTTCTGCATTCTGCAGTGACAAAATCCTTAATCATAGCTTTCATTACAGTGTTCCTTTACTCCAGACTTCAAAGACTCCTTACTGCCTCCAGCATCAAATCTAAACTCTTCAACCTGGTTTTCAAGGCCCTATGTAATAATCTTTTCCACCTGCATCCCTACAGCTTGGTTTTTACCACTGCCACTCTTATCTATGATAATTGCCATTCATGACCATACCTTGCTTAAGTTGGTTTTCCTTGCCAAGAACGCCTTCTTTTCTGTACCTGTTAAACTTCTGGAAATCCAATCCTACTTTCTCTCTTTCCATAACCATCTCTTCCTTCCCTCCTCCCCAGATTGATGCTTAGACACATACATTATTGTACTACCTACTAATCATTCCATGTTTTTTTTTACTTAGCTGTAAGTTTTGAAGGCAACCATGCCTTGTGTAGTGTCCACTTAGGGTTCTGAATAATTAATCCCCCAAAATCTGAATGCCTTCTATATGCCAAGCAGGTTTGCATTAGTTACACAGCAAAACTCAACTCTACAAAATTAAAAAGGAGTAAGGAAATACAGATTAAACAGTTGCAGCAAAGACTAGTGATCTTAAGTGCTTATTCAAAAGCTGGTGGTAGAACAAAAACAGCAGTCTTACAGATTCTACCTCTCGATTAACTCAGTGGCTAAGTTTGCTTTTTCTCAAAAAGTCCTTTTGCAAGAACATAAAGATATTTTTATTAGTTAAGAGCTGTAACTTTTTTCCTTTGTGTTTCTCATAAGAAGTATGATCTAGCAGTCTACGATGAGTTTTTTCTTTTGTTTTTTTCGTTGAGACAGGGTCTCGCTCTGTCACCCAGACTGCAGTGCAGCTGTGTGCTCACAGCTTAGCTTACCGCAGCCTCACCCTCCTGGGCTCAAGCAATCTTCCCAGTCTCCTGTTAGCTGAGACTACAGGTGTACACCACCACACCCAGCTAATGTTTTAAATTTTTTGTGGAGATGGGGGTCTCACTATGTTGCCCAGGCTGGTCTTGAACTCCTGGGCTCGAGTAATCCTCCTACCTCAGCCTCCCAAAGAGTTGGAAAGCGTTGGGATTACAGGCATGAGCCACCGAACCCGGCCTGCTTCCTAAGTTAATACAATAATTCATCAACTCACTTAATGCTTTTAACTGAGACTCTTATAACAGTAGGTATAAGTTTTAGTAAAAGTCTCAAAAGATAAACGTCACTTAAGGAAAACTATAGGACATACCATTGCCAAATGGTATTTTTCAGCAATTACACCGTTCAACACTCACATTCTGACACGTTGAATCGAGCCGTTCATTATAACTCAGGCACACACTTCAGTCAGTAAGAGCCCACAGATGTTTCTTTGAATACAACTTAAGTGAAAAAATACAAAGTAGTCTAATTAATATTATCTTTAATCAAGGAGCAAGTTTGTAAAGATGTCTGTTCATTCATTCTACAGACATTTTTCACAGGCCTGCCGAGAAGCATGATGATAGACCCCACAGATAACAGCAGCTTACAAGTCAAACAGGTGACCGGCGCTGGCACGGCTGTCATGATGGGAATTCTGAGTATAAATATTTTTAAAAAATAAATTTCCCTTGTATTTTTGGCTTTTACCTCCCTAATTTAGGCTTTCTGAACTGCACGGCATTCGTATGGATGCAAACACCTTTCTACAGAGCAAAAACAGCATTTGTATAAATTGTGTCTTTGGGGAACCAAGAGACTTTAAATGTGTTTAAACCAATAATCCAGTCAATAGCAACATAAGCTGACATGGAATAGTCTCTTGATAGTCCGTTTTTTAAAACAGTGTATTCTTAGAAGTTTGGTTTCTAAAGTGTCTACGCTCTTTTGCTTGTGGCTTTCATGAGATTCACAAGTTTCGTTCTCGGGTACATAAACGAAAGTTAGTATGTATGATAAATATTATGATTCTTACCTGGGAAAGACGGTGCTGAGATGTAAAAGGGGATCCTCACTGCCCGTACCCCGCCCGCACCCATGAGTCTGCAGTCTTACCTGCAGGGGGAAAGGTCTCCGAGCCTGGCCAGCTGCTCCAGCTGAGGGTTCCCTCTCTCACGATGGCTTTCAAAGACTTCATTCTGAAGTGAAAGAAATTTTGGTAAGATTTGATACTGTGGGGACCTCCTAATCTATATTTTTCTCTCTCCTAATTTCTGTGTTTGATTTTGGTTTTGATTCTCTCAATGAGCAAAAGATCCAGTTTCTCATGCTGCTCTTTCTTGGGCTTTCCCCAACCACTCTGTGGATCCACTATGGTTTGCCCTTTCTAGCATCCATTAGGCACACTAAAAACTCATTCTGAAAAGCAGGTATCGGCTGGGTGCAGTGGCTAACACCAGTAATTCCAGCACTTTGGGAGGCCAAGGCAGGCAGATCACCTGAGGTCAGGAGTTCAGGGCCAGCCTGGCCACCATAGTGAAACCCCGTCTCTACCAAAAATACAAAAAAATTAGCCGGGCATGGTGGTGGGTGCCTGTAATCCCACTACTCAGGAGGCTGAGGCAGGAGAATCGCTTGAACCCGGGAGGCCGAGGTTGTAGTGAGCCAAGGTCTCACCACTGCACTCCAGCCTTGGAAGGCCGTCTCAAAAAAAAAAAAAACAAAAACGAAAAACTGCAACCTCCCCCTCCCAGGTTCAAGTGATTTTCATGCCTCAGCCTCCCAAAAAGCTGAGATTACAGGCATGCACCACCAAACCTGGCTAATTTTTGTATTTTTAGTAGAGATGGGCTTTCACCATGTTGGCCAGGCTGGTCTTGAACTCCTGACCTCAGGTGATCTGCCCGCCTTGGCCTCCCAAAGTGCTGGGATTACAGGCAAGATTTAGATATTTTAGATTTAGAGATTCAATTTCTATGAAGCAATTCTTTATTTTCCTATTTACGGCAAACAAATTCCTGAAAGTCAGCTAAATTTATCCAGAATCAAAATACAAATTAGTGAGTGAACAGAGATTAGATGGTGAATTGTCCTTATTTCTGAAAAAGCACTTCCATTTTTAAAAATCTTTTGTTATTTTATAGCTCCTCACTGCAACTGCCCCCCACCTTTGCCTCTGATGCATTTGCAGCCTTCAAGGGGACCAGGGAAAAAAGCTGGGGCCTGGAAGCCCCACTATCCTGCTTGCTGGGGAGAACACGTCAAAATTAACAGATTATCACAGCAATTAGTGCCTGTACTTGGGGGAGCTACAAAGTGAGGAGGCCCCAGCTCTTCACTGTACAGGGGTCTATTTGGCAGTGACCTTGCTCTGGAGACGATGATATTCCGTCAGCCTGAGGGAAGTGATGTTGATGAACCTGGCCGCATCAATTGGCCCATAATCGCCCTGCACCTTCACACTCATCAGCTCCGCGTCATAGAGAGACAGTGGGGACTCCCAGCCTAGGATGGACACCTAGCCCTTGAAGACGGACACCTGCACTTTCCCTTCCACTCACTCCTTGCCTTCCACACCACTACCTTGGTGATGCAGTGGTAGACAAATTCACACTCAGGGCTGTGCCAGAAACCGGTGTACACCAGCTCAGAAATTTCAGGACCAGGCCTTGTTTGATTTTGCACACTTCCCGATCCATGGTGAAGGCCTCGATGCCTTAATGAGCGTGGTAAAGGACGGTGCCTGCTGGGGTCTCGCCGATACCTTGGGACTTCATTCCAATGAAGCAGTTCTCCATGATGTCAATACGGCCCACGTTGTGCTTGCCTGCGACTTTGTTCAGGTACCTGAAGAGCTCCAAGGAGGTCTGGTGGGTGGTGCCATCCTTGATGTTGGTCACCTTCACAGGACCCCTTTTTTGAACTGGATCTCAAGAATATCAGAGGTGTTGGGGGCTCTGGCCAGGCCCTGGGTCTTCGTTTAGAGACCTGGAGGTGCTTTGGTTCTTGGGGTTCTTCAGGACTCCAGCCTCGTAGCTGATGTGCATGCGGTTCTCGTCCGTGCTCCACGGGTTCTTGCAAGTGACTGGGAGGGGAATCTCGTGCTGCTCTGCGTATTCCATCAGGTCATTGCAGCCTTTGAGCCAGTTGTAGAACTCAGGCATCCTCAGGAAGAATGACCTTTATCTTGGGGGCCAGCGAGTAGCAGGGGAGCTCAAACCGGACCTGATTGTTCCCCTTTCCTGTGGCGCTGTGGGACACATACTTGGACCCCTCCTGCTGGGCAATGTCCACTTGTTTGCGGGCGACGCAGGGCCTGGTGAGAGAGGTGCCCAGGAGGTAGCGGTCCTCATACAGCACGCTGGACTGGATGGCCGGCCAGATGAACAACTCCACAAACCCCCTTGAATACCTCTTTGGCCCCAAGCTTCAGTGCCTTCTTCCTGGCTTCCTCAAAGTCTTCCTTCTGGCCATTGTTGGCCAGGTACACAGTGATGTCATAGCCTTGATCCTTCAGCCACACGAGGATGCAGGAGGTGTCCGGACCGCCACTGTAGGCCAGAACCACGGAGCCTTTGCAGGACACGGCATCTGGGATTGGAGGCGCGAGTTCCCGGCATCGCGTCTGGAATCTGTCTGTCTTCACGGTGCAGTGGACCACTCGGGCCTGGGCAGCGGTGGCAGGCATAGAGCAGGGCCAGGCACTTCCATTTCAATCCATTTTATTAAAGTCTTGTTTTTAGTTTTATTGAGGTTTATTTAGTTTTATTGAGGTATAAGTTACATACCAAAAAATTAACCTTTTTACATGTAGAGTTGGTTCCATTTTCATACACGTACAAGCTACGAAACCACCACAGTGAAAATACAGAACATCTTCCCTATCCCAAATTCCCTTTGCAGTCACTCCTGTCCCTCCACCTCCAGCTTCTGGCAGCCACTGCTCTGATTTCTGTCCACATGCTTGGCCCTTCCCAGAACGTCATGTAAATAGCATCACGGAGTAGAGTGTACACAGCCTTTGAGTCTGGCTTCTTTCACGTAGCAAAAGGCTTTTGTGATACATCCCTGGTGCTGCCTCTATCAGTACTCAATGGCTTTTTAATGACTATTTTATATTGTTCGAAGGTACCACAGTTTGTTTACCCTTTGCAGTCAATATTTTACAACACACACTGGGGAAACGTCATTTATGCTTTATAAATCAGGTTACAGTTCTGTTTAGATGTGTTAATTTACATTCTCAAAAAAGGTAGTATAGATTCAGAAAAGGCCCTCTTGCAAAAGTATTGTTAAGGGCAATTTAATGAGTAAACACAAAGGTTCCGTGTAAATTCGAACCACAAGTTGAAGGATGAGCTCTCCCCTGACTGAGGAAGATAGATGGGAAATCTCCTTGCAAAGTAGATGAGAGGGACAGCCCGCTGCTCAGCGAGTGACTGACACTGCAGCTGGAGAGTACGCTTCCTGGCTCCCAGAAAGCAGTCCGGGCAAGGCTCCAGCATCCACAATGCGGACCATGGGGTCCGCAATTTAAAATGTTGAGTGTACTAAAGAAAATTGCGGATCTTTCATCTTTTTTGTAGGTTGTCTTCCCAATTCTGGTATCATATCCAGAAAGCAAGCTAACTAAAGAAGTATCTGGGATACTAGTTTTGCCAATTCAGCTCTAAAACAATATGGCGATCTTATATTCCAGGTCCATACACACACACACGTTTTCTTTTTAAAATAGAATGTCAGTCCAATAAGAATCTAAATTTTAGTTCCCTCTACTATATATATATATATCCATATCCATATATATATCTCCATATGTATATCCATATATATCTGACCAGGGACCAGATAATATTTTTCACGAGTCAATATATGGAAGTTGGCCAGGTGCAGTGGCTCACACCTACAATCCCAGCACTTTGGGAGGTTGAGGTCAGTGGATTATTTGAGGTCAGGAGTTCAAGACCAGCCTGGCCAACATGATGAAACCCTGTCTCTACTAAAAGTACAAAAATTAGCTCAGCAGTAGTGGCATGCGCCTGTAATCCCAGCTATTCGCGAGACTAAGGCAGGACAATCACTTGAGCCTGGGAGGTGGAGGTTGTGGTGAGCTGGTACCATGCCACTGCAGTCCAGTCTGGGTGACAGAGTGAAACCCTATCTCAAAAAAAAAAAAAAAAATATATATATATATATGTATATATAAATATATATATAATGATTAATCAAATATATTTAATATAATGAAATATATATCATAATTATATTTAACATATATATTTAATATATATAAATATAAATACTAATATATATTATATCTTATATTTATATTTTATATATTTTATATTTATATGTAATTTTATAAAACATATACTTTATATATTAAAATATAATAGATTTCTATTTTATTTATATTTTTAAAATTTTATATTTATGTATATCGATACTTATATATAAATATATTTTTATATTTTAAATATGTAATATATAATATAAAAATATATAAATATATTAAATATTATATAAATATAATTTAATATAATTACATATATTTATTTATTTATTTATTTATGAGTAAATACCAGTCCCAGGATTCACATTCAAACTAGTCCCAGGATTCAAATTCAGTCTAATTATTTTCACCACACTACCAAAAGTCTTTTCTCACATTTTCTATGTAAAGTTGAACTAACTCATAAGGCAGTGAATGTTACATTGTATCCTTTTGCAGTTTCTTGTCTATGACATTACTATGCCCCAATTCCCCTACTAGACTTTGAACTCATCTTTGGATCCCCAGGCCCTTCAGAAAGAGTGACCATTATTACTGACAAAACTTCCTCTCACTGTGAAACCTGCTCTGGGTTATAAGATGCAGTGTGCTCTTTGGAACTCTACTGATCTCTTGTATGCAGAGTGGATTACATAATCTTATTTCCTAATAACCTAGTGATAGAAAAGTAATGACTCAGGTGTAGGTAATGGACTTTGTCATCTTTAACACTGAATGCTGATGTCTCCCTAATGTATAGATCTTGTCATGCATGAGGTGCCCTCAGGAGCTTGCAGAAATGCTTTGGCACAGACTCAGCTGCATCAACCCTGGCTCTTGCTGACATGTGCAGACAGTTGGCATGCGGGTAGAGAAAGTGTCCTCTGCCAAGCAAGTCCAGTGGAATAGAACACTGGTGCCATTGAG